TTTATAATATTTTTTCTGTTCTGTTTCGATGTGGGCAATAAAGTGCACTTCCTCAATTTCGGCTGACAAAAAACGCATAGCCCATGTTGCTCGAAAAACGCGCCCTGCTTTTTTGCTTTGCTGGCAAGTTTTGCATAAAGCATTGCTATAATTTAGTGTTAGTGAATGAAACCCCTAAAATTAGTTAAAAGTGTACGAGCAACACTTTATTATATAAATGAAACTCCCAAAATTAGTTAAAAGTGTACGAGCAACACTTTATTATATAAATGAAACTTTTTAAATTCTCTTATTTTTGGTGTAAATAAAACTTCCCAAATTAGTTGAAATGCGCGGGCATTACACATCTTACTGCTTTGCTTACTATTCATATTTTAGCAAGAAACTTTCTAGTAACGCTTTAAATAGCTCATTTTGCTGTTAAAGCCGAGAAAAGTTGTTTTTGTGTTTGCTTTTTTCCATGTAACTTCATTCGTCAGCTTTTTTTGCTCTTCTTTTTCTCCCAGTCCGCCAATAACGATCCGGAAATTTTGAAGCACTTTTCTAGAAAAAGCTCCGCTACGCCGTTGCATCCTTTTTAAATCTGATAACTCTGCTGAATACTAAGTTGCGTTAGAAGTGCGATGAGACTGCGCTAAGAACTTCACTTTTGTACTGCTGAACATTTATCCTTTACAGTGACCGTTGATCTCAAGTTTCCTTCCATATGCTATTACGCAAATGGTCCAGTTTTTAACTTTTTTAAGAAAACAACAAGTGCTTTTTGGATACGCGAATTGGGCAGTGGACGCAATGAGAGAATGCCCAGCAACCATCGAACAGTTCCTTGCAGCATGTGAAGCATGGAATCTTGAGGAAGTACATCAAGCCGTGGAAGCTGGCTTTTGTGTTGATGAGTTCGACGATGACCACGTCACTGGACTGCAGATGGCTGCTGCAACCGGCAATATTGGAATTGTTCGTGCAAAATTCATCTTCACAGTGACTGTCCTCTCTAGTGCTCCACCAGGCTTAATGGCTAATAACTTACGATGAACCAAACGGGCTAAGGCATAAGCTGTTTTTGGGCCAATTAGACACAAAAAAGTCTGTTCTTGATCATTCTCGCAAAAATATTCGAAGAAAGAGGAACAGGGAGCAAGAGCCAAATTGAAACTGAAATTAAATAGAGTAGGAGGAATAGGAATGAAAAAGAGGAAATAAGGACATAGGTAAAAAAAGAGGAAAAGAAAATAGTTGTTCACATGGAACAGTCAAGTGATATTCTGACGGGTAATACAAGAGAGGTCATTGTTTTTCACTTTTACCTGCGGAGGTTGTCTGAATGGGAAAAAGATTAAAAAGAGAACGCTGAAAAGAATGAGTATGTGGGCCTACAGTATTATAATATAATTATTTATCAGTAATAGTGGAAGCTTCACAAAACAAGAAGCGCCTCGAGGATCAATGGCTAATTCGTGAAATGCAAAGGATATAGAAATGGGAGCTCCATAAAAATAAAAATCCAAGGAGGCACCTTTTCGTTTTTGTAAAAATTTACTGGGTTGAACGTTCATGCCAATTTTCAGGTACAGTACTTACTTGATCGAGGTGCGGATATTGAGAAAAGCAATCAAGTGGGAATGACGGCGCTTCATCATGCTGCCAACAATGGACATGCCAATATTGTCCGGATTCTTGTACAGCGTGGTGCCAACTACCAAAAATTGACGTAAGGTGTTCTGCAGTAATAGAACATGCTCAACTGTGATAGTTGTGAATCAAATCACTGGCGACGCGCAACGGGCATGCCCGTGTGATCCTGAGTTTTTGCAGAATTTCATGCTACAATAAGATCGCTCGAAAAACTAGTAGCTAGGATTTGTGACATACTGATCCTCAAAGCTAGAAAAGTTGTCTGCGCTGCACTTGGACAGGGAACATTCCGCTAAAATGTCACAACTTTCCCCGTTCTAGAGTTAGCAATTTTCCTGCCAAAAAATTCCATCGATCCATGCATGGGAACCACAGTATCTAGGAGCTAAATTTGATATCTTTAACTTTTACGGGGGCTGGAAACATACCCTTTTCTGATTCCCGAGTTAGTCACTTCTCCACGAAAAAATTTCACGGGGCCGTACGTGATAACCGCGTACGTCGAGGGCTGAATCCGGTAATTTTAGGTTGTGCATGTGCAGGGAACATTCCCTGAAAATTTCAGCCTCCCAGCTTTCCTGGTTCCCAAATTGGCGATTTTGTCGCCAAAACTTTCACTCTCTTGTACGCGGAGCCTAAACGTGCGTGAACGCCAGTGTCGCGGTCCTGGGGTGGCATTTGGTCGGGGAACCTACTAGCAAAATTTTGGCACTGGAGCTTGCTTGGGTGCCGAGTCGAAAAACCCGGACAAACACACACAGTGGGGTCGTCCCAATATGCGTTTTTGCATTTGCATATAAGCAAAAACGCATAAAAAGTAATTCGGGCACTGCGAAAAAAATTTATCACTTCCAAAACTGTCTGAATTTTCGCTGTGAACCTTTTATTATTATTGTGTGCCCCGACAAATTGAGAGCTGCTGTGCGTAGATTCCCGAATACTGTATTTTACATTTGTCAGAATTCCTCCGTACTGGCTTATTACGGAAGGCAGAGGGACTTAGAATTAGCTCGAATGACAACATGTTTTATGATGGAATCATGAGATCCGTGAGTGTGCGTCAAAAATTAGATGTTTTCTTCTTTGCTATCAGTAACAATGACCGGAAAAAAGCAAACATAATAATATTACAAATTTTATTCAAACATCTTCTCGCCAGACATCTGCTGCATGCAGGAAAAGACTAAAACACTGCTAACACAAATGCGTGTGTTAAGCTGAAAAACAACCATTCATACTGTCAATGATCTGGCTGTTTCAAGTCTAACGCGAAGACGTCTTAGTGCCACCAGTATTTTCACTTGTATTAAGGGACACGTAACTTACTCACTTGAGGTATCTTGGCGCGTCAGCAATGACATTAGCAGCAGGAAGTGGACACATAGACGTTGTTAAACTGCTCCTGGATCTTCGAGTGAATATAAATCCATCGCATACAGCGCTTTGTCCGACCCCTACTATTGCTGCTGCTTTCCGAAAACATACACATATTTGTGCATTGCTATCCCACAGGTATGATTAACGAAATTTTTGACACCGATAATATCCTTAGTGGCAGATAGCATAACTAGCAAGGCTGATACACTTTACTGAGAAAAGAGGGGAACCTAGTCTTAGTAAAAAGCCTTTGGTAGGAATAAAGAAGAGTGCTGTTTTTGCAGTCTAAACTTAAAAAATTAATTCTTACTGAATTTATTTGTAATATCCATAAGCGAGTGCTTGTTCGAACTTGAGAGAAGATGCTTCACCAGCGTTATAACTTCCCCACCTAGTTCGTGTTTTTACTACCAGATGCAGTACCTTTAAAAAGTACTATCCGCAAGGCATGCTCAGTTTTTAGAAGCGCTTTATCACATCATTATTTAATCTGAAATAGGCTTTTTGTAGAGGTGCTTACATAGACGCTAACATTCAGCGCTTATCAAATCTATCAGCTTTGTCAGCAGCCATTTCATGCAACGCAATAACGGTAGTAGGAGCCCTGCTCGAGCTCGGCGCTAACCTTTCATTTCGATCACTGAATGGACTGAATGCGATGGAACTTGCGCAGCAGCTCCATCGAGATGAAGTGATCGCTGTACTGAATTCGGCAATTCGGAGCGCGCCAAAAGGTGGGTGTCACCAAATTTTCTCGTTGGATTAGATAGCAGTGCGTGTAGAAACACTGCAGCGACCACACGTTTCCCGACAAGTCGATGGGAATAAATGCATAAGGTGAAATTGGCTACACTGCGATCAACCTTACACTCATCAGTTACTCGTAAACTGGCTGAAGGTATACGACTTTATAGGGTTTCAGTTCAGCTTTACACCTGAAACCATAAATTTTATCAAAACGAATTTTGAAAACTGATTCTCTTGTAACTATCCTATTAATTAAGCGACTGAAATTTCAAGTTCTTAGTCTTGTTCGTTCTCGGCTTACAATGTTCGAAACTTTGCGCTTACAGTCAAGAACGTAAGCATAGGAAGTCACGCATTTGATTAGTAACTTACAAAATGCTACGGAAGAGCCAATACAGGCAAGAAGAAAGTGAGGGGCTTAGAAGAGGAGGGCAAGACGCTTCGGTTTGTTACATACGGTCACATGGGGAAGGCGATTTTTCACCTCCCCTTCTCCCTTTGTCACTACAACCCCTACAACCCCCTCTCCGTCAATTTCCAACTTACCTCTCGATCGTCGCATTACTCCCTCCACTCTCTTCCTGATGCATACTACATTAAGACTGTCAGGACTCCTGGCGAGGGTGAGGGACAGGAGGTACCGAACCGACTTTTGTACAATAAAACAACCGCTACCTGAGCCATTGGGGGGAGACGAAAGGCCCTTCGCCCCTCCCTTCCCTCCCCCCCCCCTCCCGCCCCGCATCCGCCAATGGTTCATTAAGGCGGGAACTTAGTTTCAGGCGCTTAAAGCTGTACGCATTGCGAGGCGGCATCTCGACTGAAACATCTCGAACATTGCTATTATCTGATTTTTATGCGTTTTTGCATATACGTAAATTGCAAAAACGCATATTGGGAAGAGGCTGTGTGTGTGT